GAATTTTTTCAATTTTTTTTTTTGTTAATTCTGAGATTTTTTTTCATTGTGGCGTGGTTATAGAAACAGCAAGATTATATTTTCTGCGTCAAAATATAAAAAAAATCGATTTATTGGGATTCGATTTATTGGGATTCGATTTTTAGATTCGATTAATCGATTCTATTAGATACGATTCGATTTTCGATTAAATCAATTTTAGTCGAATCGATTCTAATCCCTACTGAGGACATTTTCCCGACAGCCTAACGCCGGCCATTTGATCACGTGTTCGTGCATAACTCTGTATAACTCTGGCCAAACCTGCCGGGCAAATGTCCTGTCGGGAAATCGTGCAATTAAACATGAAGCTAGTATTAAATTTATTTGTTTCACGTAATATTATAAAGTCTTAATCTATGGATAATGTAGAGGGTTTGCATACTTAATTTCCGTCATTACCTACGGTATGTATGATAGGTATCAGGTAAAAATAAAATTAAACAATGACAAAGAATTTCTGAAAAAAAAAAATAAGAAAACCGGCATGGTGTTTAAATTATTGATAAAAAACACTACAATCGCATGTGCGGTAAGACGAAAGGAGTAGTGTCAAGTCAAGTTAACCAAAAAAGTATAGTATGGTGTGAAATCGATATTGAATTGAGTATGATTTAGATAATAAAACTGTAATAGTGTTATTATCAAACGAAAAAAGTATTGTATTTACTGTATATTTTTTTATTTATAATTATACCCAACTTTAAATTGAAAAAAATTTTATTGTGAATTTTTTATTAAAATCTTTAAAATCTTCAAAATATTTTTAATTAATACTAATTCTTAATTAGCCAACTTCAATTGACGCTCCTTTTCACAAATCACAATTACTGTATTTTTGTTTCACGTTTCCTTAAAGCAAGTTCATGTTCTTTTAATGCTAAAAGCTAAATCTTTTTCCCGAGTGGAGATAATATTTTTCTTTTGAGTGAGTAATTTTATAAGCGAAATATTTTACGTGGAACGAGAAAGTCTTTTTTATTTTATCAGAAGAGTTTAATAAATTATACAATAATTATTTACTATACATAGTATTTTATTGTTGAGTTACTAGGTCCACTCCTTTTCGTATTACTCTGGCATGTGCCGTATGGATAAAAATATGTACATGTACTACATTGATACTGCATTCTTATGCAATTTACGACGAGTTGCATATTTTATAAACTACTATATATAAGGTTATCGCTGACTTTTATTTCGGTCCTTTTACTTTCGTTCTAAGTAACGAAACTTACTCAAATTAATTTTGAGTAGGTATAATTTCTCTAAAAATAGAAAAACTTTTATAGAACCCACCTGCTGACAAATATCTTTTATAGTATCATTTATAGAAATAAGAGTTTAAAAAAATTGTGTTAAAAGCTTAAGGGTACAAGAGAAACTTAAAGACCGCCTGTTGGCGAAAACTTTAAGAAGCATCGGTTTCTAGTTAAAAAAAATCCAAAGAACGTATATTGGGACTCGCGAGAATTCTCCGCTTGAAGAAAACAAGCTACACCAAAAGAGGAATAGCCGAATTCAGCCCAACCCAAAAAAGGAAGAAAGAATTTCGAAAGAACTTTCGAAACACAATGGTTTTTTTTTTCGCACAGTCTATTCCAAAAGTAGTATTATTGAATAAAAATTTTGGTTGATCAACAAAATTTGTATTACTATATTGGGAATATGCTGTCATAATCCGTTGTGCAACTCGATTGATATTCGATCTCATTATAACAGTTGCTACTCAAAGATTATCGTCAATATGACCATCAGGATTTTAAGATTCTTTCTGAAATTGGATCTGGAGGATCTGCTGCAGTTTACGCTGCATATTGGAAAAATACTACATCAAAATTTGCAATTAAGAAAATAACTAAACTTTCGGCGAGAAAAGAAATTATTAATGAGGTCTGTTCTTTAGACTCTAATAATTTAGAAAATTATAAACTAATTTATCATCTTTTTCTTTTTTTTTTTTTAGATTGATATAATTAAAAAAGTTGACTTTCACCCGAACATAATTAAATTTATTGGAATTATAAAAAGTACGTGATAAATATATGTAGATAATAAATATGTATTAATTTATTCGAGTATTAATATTTTTTTTTTTATTTTTTTCATTTTTAGATGAAATAAACTATTCTCTTGTTCTTGAGTATGCAGATGGTGGAACATTAGGAAAATATCTAGAAAACGCACGAACTCTTAAACCAGAGATTCAATTAAAATTTGCTAAAGAAATCGCAAGTGCAATCTATTGTTTACATAATTATGATATCATCCATCGAGATATTGTAAGTTTGAATAATTATATTATTTCATAATTTATCTATTATAATAATTAATTATTTGAACATTCCTCTTTATATTTAGCATCCCAATAATATCTTATTACATGGACATACAATAAAATTAGCAGATTTTGGACGTTCATGTCTACAAGAATCGGATGTTGATACCGAAGTATTTGGTGTAATACCTTATGTGGATCCTAAATTTCTTGATCCAAAAATTCCATATAATTTAACGAAAAAATCCGACATATTTAGTATGGGAGTAATATTCTGGCAATTAACAAGTTGTTCCTCTCCTTACAATTTTGAAAAAAGAAAAGATTATGCTTCTATTACGTTAGACATTCTTAATGGCTTAAGAGAAGAACTTATTTCAAACACAAATGTTAAATTTATTAGACTTTATCAACGTAAGTATAAAATTATTTTATCATTTTTATTTTTTCAATTAGGGTTAACAAATTTAATCTAGAATGTTGGCGACACGAACCTGACGAAAGACCAGATGCTAGTCAAGTAATTTTAGAGCTTAACGAAATTGATTCTGAAAATAATTTTAATTTTGAAGAAAATGAAAATGAAAAAATTAAAATAGTAGCAGAATTAAAAAGCGAAGAAATTAAAGATGATTTTTCGGATTGTCACTTGTCAAATTATTAAATTATTTTATATTTTTATTTATTTTGTATTTATTGTTTTTATTTTACTTTTTGATTTATTAAATAAATAATAGACAAAAATCGTTTCTTTATTTGGGATTACTAAATATTGGATTTTTTTTAGAGTATAAATTAAAATTTTAGTGTGGCGGTATATTATATATGGCATACTTCGCTATAATGTTCAATAAATGTATAAAAATAATGAAACGGAGAGGATACTAATAAATTTGTGTTCTTTTGATTTATTATTTCATATTTTCTTTGTACAAAATAAAAAAAATTTAATCGTAAAAAAAAAAAAAAAATATTCATGCGGCTAAAGTCGGGAAAAAATGGTGTTTTAATTGGGAAAATGGACGACTACAGAACTATTAACCTTAATTAGCGCTGATCATAGCCTTATCATAAGACTATAAATACTTGATAGTCACTATAACTTCATAATAGGTTAAATAGTAATATAGCTATTTCTGTGTGGGTCATTTTACTCATTTAATTCATTCATAACTTTCCTTTTTTGGAAAGTTAATAAAGAACTAGTTTCTGAGTTAGTGTTATATCATATGTTTACTTTGTTTACTTATTCCTTTCAAATAATGTCCCTTTTAAGTATTTGCTGGCGGTGCAAAATGTATATTACTTCCGTACTACTATTATTGATTTTTTCTTTAAAATAAAATAAAATAAAATGCAATATTTTTAAATTATGAATTTTGGTTACTACAAATAGTCGAAAAATTCGACCCTGAAAGATTTTCATTATATTCTTACCTGAATTAAGCTTTGAAGATATTCATTTAAGAATTTTTAAAATTGTTAATTTACGAAATTTAAATCTTCCCATCATTAATATTTGGGTTTATTGCATGATCATTTATACTTTATATTATTATTTTTAAAATTTTTAATCGTAGTCTGTGGTTATCAATAAAGATTTTTCCTTTTTAAAAATTGTCTCGGAAATTTTGTTTACATTGCCGTATTTTTTTTATAAATTGTAACAATTAGTGTAGTGCGTTAAATAAGTGATTATTACATTATTTTATGAAACGCCATGTACAGTACGTAAAAAAAAAAAAAAGATTTCATTTTTTTTCTTAACTCAGATAATTAATCCATTTATCCTATTTTGACTTTTTCATAATTTAATATTTGTATGTATTTATAAAAATTACTTTGTCATAAATTAGCGTTTTAGTGAGGTATTAAATTATTAAATTATAAATAAGAAATTTTTCGTCAAAAATACAATCTGATGATTACTTACATTTTCCGATATTAGGAATTATGTTGAATATAATCATATAATGATTATACAGTATATATGTTGTGTAAATAAATAAACCTAATAGAAATAATTAAGTTCCATTAGATGAGAGGGTTTGATTACTGCACGGTGATGATCTTATTTTGTTCATTTTTAACATTTCTAATCATGCACAAAAAAAGTTTCATGAGAGAAAAAATTTAATTTCCTTTGTTTTCCGTTTTGTGGCACGGTTTTACTAATATCACGTGACTGCTAATATCGGTGACATTTATTTGTCACCATGCACGTGACTGGCGAGAACGCACAGAGTATATTTATCTCGGCGATTTTTTTTTAAAAAATGGTCTAATGCCTATTTGTCACGCTCGTGATGAAAAAAAACCATGTCCACAAAACGGAGGTGCGTATCGTCGTACCGATTTATTTTAAAACGCAATAAAGAAAAAGAACAAAAAAATTAAATCAAAATTATTCAAGATGAAAAGTAAAATGAATAAAATTATGAATTAAAAGTAAATTGAATTAAAAAATTAAAAGTCGATTGAATTGAATTAAAGGTAAATTGAATTAAAAAGATTAAAAAGTTAATTGAATTTTAAAAAATTAAAACTTGATTAAATTGAATTGAAAGTTAATTTTAGTTAATTTTACTGAATTAAAAAATAAAATTAAAGACATTATTTTTTTTTTTTTTTGAAAAATTATTTTATTTGTTTATTTATGTATTAGTGTTATTATATTCTTTACAAGCGGATTTTTAAAGAAAGTGTTTAGAATTTCTAATTAAAACACACCTAACCAGAGTCAAGAATTAAATAAATGAAAAAAAAAAAAATAATAATAAAGTAATTAAATACAATTTTACTATATGTCTATCTAAAGTATTCTATATATATTTTATGCGCTTGGAACACGTAAAAAGCTGTCTGGAGAACCACTCTTAAGACCTTTAACGACTCCCTTTGTTGATAAAGTTTTAAGTGCCGTTGCCATTTCAGCTGGTGATTTGTTACCATCCTTGGCAATTATAAGAGCTATGGTACCAGCAACATGTGGGGTAGCTTGAGAGGTGCCGGAAAATACTACACTACCATTATCGTCTTTAAAACTAGCACCTTGAATGTCCCGACCTGGAGCGAAAATGTCAAGACATTTTCCAAAGTTTGAGAAATCTGTGATTGCGTCACTATTTTTTTCGGTAGCACCGACCGTGATAGCGCTAGGTTCAGATGCAGGTGATGTATTACAAGCATCCTGACTTTCGTTACCTGCGGCAACAGCTACGTGAACACCAGCATCGGTAAGTTGCTTGACAGCATCGTCTACAGCTTTCGATTTAGTACCTCCAAGAGACATGTTGACAACTGATTTCTTATTATTACTCTTACTGTGTGTTTCTCCTACAAAGTTCAATCCAGCGATAACTCCACTATTTGATCCAGAACCATCAGCGTCCAAAACTCTAACAGCAATTGGTGTGGCTTTTCTTGCTACTCCCAAAGTTGCTCCACATGCAATGCTAGCAACATGAGTACCATGACCATTTTCATCTTCATTGTTGCATCCATCACAGAAAGATCCTCCGAATTTGGCACGACCACCGAATTCTTTATGTGAAGTTCGAATACCAGTATCGACAATAAAAACGTTTACACCTTCTCCAGCAGAATCGGGGAAAGTATATTTTCCATCTAGAGGTAGTTTAGCTTGATCAATACGATCAATATTGAAAGTTGGTTTATTGTCTACTGCACGTCTAGTAAGTTGAGATGGTACTACATATTGAGTCTTAACTACACCATCTTCTTCAATATAATCAACATCATCCATTTTTTCAAGTTCCTTTGCAAATTCTGATGTCAGTTCTCCAGTAAGTCCAAAAAGATTAACAATTCCGAAACTAGCGAAAGTGGGTTTTCCTTTATTGCTAAGAGATTTAATTTTTTCGAAACTATCAATTTCTGCATCAAGACAATTTTTAAATAACTCATGTTGCCTTTCAGCAGCTTTCTTGTCTTTAAAGACAACAATAACTTTCTTCCCTTTACCATCAGACTTGGCATTGATTGATAATGCTTTAGGGCAATCAGTATCATTTTTTGCTGATTCAGCCGAGGAGAGCAAGAAAGTAACTATTACAGCGATAGAGAAAATTTTAGCGAAGCGTGGAGCAACCATTTTTTTTTTATTTGAAATTAGTGGTTTATTAAGGTGAAAATAATATAAAATTAAGGAGATAAATATAATAAAAGAGGAAGGGTGATGATTTAATGATTTATTATTTTATCCACACGGTGGATAAAAAAATATTGTATTTAAAATGAGAGGGAAGTAGAGATTAGACTCTGGTTAGGATTTTTTTTTTATTAATTTGATTTTTGGTTTTTCGGATGAAGAAAATTGAAAAGCAAAACTGGTTTGTATTTATATACAAAAAATTCTCAAATCTGGAAAATAAAATTTTACTTACACATTGTTGTTAACAATTACGTTTTTAGTAAAGATTTTCAGGTAATATTAAAACTCGGCCGTAGATCCCTTGTTCGGTTTTAATGTACTGTAAATTTGTTTCAAATTTTATACTTATTTACCAAAATTGTTATGTTGTTATGTTGAAATAGAATAATTAGTTACACGGGTTCTCGTTTTTTTTTTTATTATTTTACATTTTTAAATTTTTTTACTAATATTATTAAAGAAAAAATGTTAGTAATAGTAATAGACGAGGTTTTCAAAAAAGTAAATTTTCTATGCCGATCATTTAATTATTAAATTATTAAATTTAACGAAATATAAAAACGGAAAAAAAAAGATTTGTTAAATGGGCGTCTTTAACGTACAGTGGGGGTGCACTTGCATGTGATAGAGTTAACGTTAACTCCAGCTAGTTCGCACGTTAATATCGTACACCCAACGCTGTATATTAATGAACACCTTGTTAAATAAATCAAAATTGACATTCAAAACAACTTTGACGCTTTAAGTAAACTTGCAGAACAGACAAAAATACACATACAATATGTTTCTTTTAAAATTTATTTATTAAAAAATAATAATTTTTTTTACACAATTTTTAAGTCACGTGATAGGCGTATAATAAATATTATAAGGATTTCGCTTATGCGATATATCGATCCCCCTTATATTGCCGAATTTTCTAATTCCCCAATTTTTTTTTTTTTTGATTTTGGCGCAAACCTTTATGTACCTATTGTAACACTTTTAAAAACCATATAGTATGCCTGCTTTTCAATTTTATTTAGTATATCTAAAAGGGTTTAGAATATTGTTTTCGACTTTTATATGGTGATGCGATATTTCGCGGGTGCGATAAAAAACAAAACCCTTATTATAAACTTTAAAAAAAATTATTTCATGTAAAAAATCTAGGATTTGTTCATCATATTTGTTATTGACGATTAAATTGAAGAATATAAGAGAATTCAAATTATAAACTAAAAAAAAAACAATTTATTTAAATAATGAGAACTAGAAGTTAACGACTTTACGGTAGTGTCTGAAATTCAAAATTTTTAAATCATGTGCGGAATGCGTACATTATTTAAAATTCTTATGTGTGTCGTAATTTCTAAATTTCTAAATGATGTACGGAAAGAGTTTTTTCATATATAATTCATACTTCCAGTGGTTGATACTTGGAATTTAAAATTTCATAAAAAAAAATACTTGAAATTATAAAAAATTCCTTTATTATATTATAATCACTAATAAAACATACATTATTCTTCAAATATTATTAAGTTTTACGAAAATGGAAAAACTTTCTTTTATATTATATATAAGTAATATAAATAAATGATATGTGCATGATGTGCGCCACTATGCGCAAATGTGATGTGCACAAAATAAGTAATGAAGTGTGGAAATGTGCGGAAATGTGCGAAGGTGAATACAAAATTTTTGTGGGCGCGTAACACAAAAATTTTGGTCATGTGCGGGAGTTTTAAAAAATTTCAAACACTGAACTTTATTATAATAAATTTTATTTAAAGTTAATTTTTTATTTTTAATCGTAATCTCTTTAATTTTTTTCAAATTCGAAAATTTAAAAAGTTAAATTTATTGTTAGCGAAAATCTTTTTGTCGACGCATTTATAGAATCAAAATTTGGAACCACTTAAGATTTTCAAATATAATACATACTATACTATTTCTATCTAATAAGTAAATTACAAGGTGAATCATTAAATTAAATTATAACATTTATGAATAATTACTATGAAGTATGCATGAAAGAATAATGTGGATAATATTTAATTATATTCTCATAGTACACTCCTTAAGAGAATATACATTTAATACTAAATTATTACCAATATATCCTAAAATTTTATTGTTGTTTCACGTACGCCCGCTAATATTTCTAAAATTTAATCCATGGATAATGTATAGAATTGACATCTTAATTCGAATACTTTTATTTTAAAATAGCTAAGTACGTTGTAAAATATTGACACATTATCCGAAAATACTTTATGTGTAACGTTTGATAACCCGATTTAAAAATAGCGCAAATTGAGGAACATGTATTACAAAAAAAAAAATTATATATATTTATTGTGTACTACTGACAATCGAAGTTACTAAACTGTACTACACCAAATGTAATGTTGCATATTTTTTAAACTCCAGCTATATATAAGGATGCCCCCCGGTTTTTATTTCAGTCTTTCTACTTTCGTTCTAAGTTAATAAATAATTATGAGTATGCATCATTTCTCCAATAAAAATAGAAAAACTCTATAGATACCACCTGCCAACAAAACGTTTAAGTATCATTTATAAAATAAGAGTTTAAAAAAATTGTATTAAAAGCTTTTAAAAGAGTACAAGAGAAACTTAAAGACCGCCTGTTGACGAAAACTTTAAAGCAAGCTGTTAGCTGTGAAAGAAATCCGGAATCCGGAAGACGTAAATTGGATTCCGAAAATTCTCCTCTTAAGGAAAATCAGCTACACTAAAAGAGGAAAAGCCGAATTCAGCCACATAAACCAAAAAAAGGAAGAATTCGAAAGAACTTTCGAAACACAATGGTTTTTTTTTTCGCACAGTATATTCCCAAAAAGGAATATTTGGGCGGTAAACATTGATGTATGATTAACTTGAATTTATGCCGATTTGGGAATATGCTGTCATAATCTGTTGTGCAATTCGATTTGACATTCGATCTCATTATAACAGTTGCTACTCAAAGATTATCGTCATTATGGCCATCAAGATTTTGAGATTCTTTCTGAAATTGGAAATGGAGGATCTGCTGCGGTATATGCTGCGTATTGGAAAAAAACTCCAACAAAATTTGCAATTAAGAAAATTAAGAAAATTATTGACATTTCTACTGAAAAAGACATTATTAATGAGGTTTGTCCTTATAAATTTTAATCGTTCAGAAAATCATAAAATCTTAGTAAAATTCTTATTCTTTTTTAGATTAATCTAATGAAAATTGTTGAATTTCATCCAAATATAATTACATTTTGGGGAGTTATAAAAAGTAAGCAATAAATATACATCGATAATAATAATTTATTCGAGATGTGTTTACACCTTTTTTTTATTTAGGTGAAATGAATTATTCCCTCGTTCTTGAATATGCAGATGGTGGAACATTAGGAAAATATCTAGAAAATACTATAACTCTTAAGTCGGAAGTTCAATTGAAATTTGCTAAAGAAATCGCAAGTGCAATCTTATGTTTACATGCTAATGATATTATTCACCGAGATATTGTAAGTTTAAATAATTATATATTTAACGATTTAACTTTTATGTTAATTAATTATTAAAACATTTCTTTATATTTAGCATCCAAATAATATCTTAATACATGAACTTACAATAAAATTAGCAGATTTCGGACGTTCATGTCTCCAAGGATCGGATGTTGATACCGGAGTGTTTGGTGTAATACCTTACGTGGATCCTAAAATGCTTGATCCAAAAATTCCATACAATTTATCGAAAAAATCTGACATATATAGTATGGGAGTAATATTCTGGCAATTAACAAGTTGTTCATCACCTTTCAATTTTGAAAAAAGAGATTATACTTCCATTACGTTAGACATCCTTAATGGCGCAAGAGAAGAATCTATTTCAAATACGAATGTTAAATTTATTAAACTTTATCAACGTAAGTATAAAATTGTTATATCGATTATTTTTATAGTAAGATTAACAATCCATCTTTGACTTATTTATTCAAATAGAATGTTGGCGACATGAACCAGACGAAAGACCGGATGCTGATCAAGTAGTTTTGGAACTTAATAAAATTGATTCCGAAAATAATTTTGATTTTGAAAAGAGTGAAAACGAAATTAAAATAACAAAAGAATTAAAAAGCGAAGAAATTAAAGATGATTTTTCGGATTGTCACTTGTTAAATTATTAGATTATTTTACATTTTATTTATTTTGTATTTCATATTGTTATCATTTTTCTTTTTTTATATAAATGAAAATATTTTGTTGTTCTAAAAATTTGTCCAGTTCATAGTAAAATGAGTTACATTTAACGCAATTTTTTTTTTGAAAATAAAGTTATTTATAGATTAAAAAAAAAATTTTTTTTTTTTTTTTTTACATCATGAACTCAAACTCAAGTTTATGTCATTCTATATTACGCTTTAATGTTCGAAAAATGGTAATATTAAGCTATCTAACGATATTTTGTTGTAAAAAAAAATACTATCGAAACAGAGCCCCGACAATACGCGAATGATAAATGAGTGATGATCTACTATACCATTTATAATATATCTTCGGTTTGGGTAAGGTGGATAAAGTTATGGATATTATTATGATTTGTAATATGTACTTCCAATAAGTTTCGACATGAAAATTGCAAAGCACCATGATATTTCAAATATTTTATGTAGGGTTGGGTATTGCAGTCACGTAACCAATTTATATATATTCCAAACAATTTTATTCAATTTTTATTTGAATAAAAAAAATCATAACAGATAGTAATAATATTAATAATAAAGGTATTTACAAATATAGAGCTTGAACTCGTGTAAACGAGTTAAATTTTCGACTCAAAGAGCAACAACTTCATAGTGCAGGCCAAAATTAATTGTAATTTTGGCCAACTTCGCACAAGATTTTTCGACATTACTATAGTTCTGGCCAGCATTACTCATCATGTGCACTCGAGTCAACTCGGATCAAAAAATTCTCGTTAACTCAAGTTACACCAAGTTTTACAAAGCGAAATAGCTTGTTTAGGATTATAAATAGAGGAAATTTTCCATTTTAAATTTTAAATTTTGTAAAATACTCAGAGTATAGTACTAGGAAATGTAATGTAAAATATAAATTTCTACCCTCTACCCATTACATAATATACCGGTAAATTTGCAAGATATATAAAGCAATGATTGTAGTCTTCCCTCCGATCATTACTAAATATGTAAATCAAATAAACATTCAACTTCTAAATTGTTACGAGTACTATGGTACGGTACTTATGTAATTCTCGACGAAATTTTGTCTCCGGCGGAAAATGCCGGAAATACCAGAAAGTAACGAGCTAAGCTAAATTCTATTATATACTGTACATGCTACTTTCAGTATTATGGTTATAAAGGAGCGACTTTTATTTGGGTAATTGTTCTTGTATCGTTTTGTCAAGGTGAGATATTCGTGTCTTAATGAAACTTTTGAAAAAAAAATTGAATATAAAAGAAATGTGTGGACTTACGGAAGCTAAAAAAAGCTGAGATAAAGATTCTAACAAGTCTAGTGGTATTATGCCAATTTTCTGGCGCTTCTTTACATAACTGTTTATACTTTAACAAATAAATTTTCTCACTGTTAAAATATAAAATTAAAAAGGATATTATAATAAATAGTTATTGGGATGAATAGCTAGAGGTATCGGTCTTCGGCCAATATCACTAATTATTTATGTGGCAACACGGATATTTACTTTTAATTATGACAATCCATACGTTTCATATTTACAATTTTCTGCAACTTATAAATTTTATCGGAAGATATCACCAGATTCTAAATTATTTATTTAAAAAGAATATTAATGAAAGAGGAATTTGTTCCCCCGTTCTTTCTAGATTATTTTTATCTAAGACAAAATAATATAAACAAACCCTGAACGTATATGAAATTATGACTTTTATTTACTTATTTTTTTTTTAAGGTGTGAACGGTTAAAGTAAATATATATATATTAATCTTATAGGAAAAAGGTAACTTAGTACATAATAAATAGAAACAAACATAATGATACGATTTTTTTTATCCTCCAATTTTTGTTTTTTTTTTAAGAAAATTCTATTTAAATAAAAACGAAATAGAATGAATATATAAGAACTATTAGGTCGATGCCATTTTTCGTATTTACAGCTTTTTTTGCTTTACCAATTATAAAATATTCACCTATTATCAATTTTTTTTTCTCAAAATAACCAAAAATAAATAAATGAACGAATGAAACAAATATCTATCGAATATTCCATAAAAAAAAAATGTTGTGCTTTTTGTATAACAAATAATAATAGTTCAGCCACAAAAAAAAAATTCTTTTTTTTAATANTTTTTTTTGAAAAAAAAAAATCTCCAAAAATAATATAATTTTCTAATATCTCACTATAATTTCATCAACAACTAACATATTTAATGTACCTTTTCTTATAGTAAAATTTCTAATCGCATTAATACGAAAATCGGTTAAAGGAGATAAGTGTCTTCAGCAATCCATTAGAAAAGTATTCAATTGACTAGAAGTTAAAGATTTATAAATTCTAAATAATGTAAAAGGGATTTCACTTTTCATTTACGATTATTTTCAGGCGGAATCATTAATAAAATTTGTTCTTATGACTAAATATTCTAAACTTACTAATTGTCCGGAGCGTAGCGAAGGACTATATAATTTTACGAAGGTCGATGACAATTAGTGTCACGTGGCGATTTCCGGTTGTCCGCACGCGTTATTTTTGATTGGTCCGCACAGAATGTGTATTGAAATTTCGTGCTAGACAAAAATAAACAAGTAAAAAAGTTTATGATTACCTGATAATCTCTTTTTTCTTATTTTTTTTTTAGATTTCGGCTAGTAAGTATATTTTTCTTTTAATCGACTTAAAGAAATGTTTTTCTTATTTTTTTTCTAGGATTTCTGGATTTCTTGTACATACTGGACTTTAAAGGTAAATTAGGAGGGGTTTTTTTTATTTGTTTGACTGAAACGTTTCTAACGTTTCATTTATTATTATTTTTTCTAGAGACACTGGATTTTTGTACATGCCAGATTTTTAAAGGTAAATATATAATTAGCTTTTCTTATTTGTTCGACTTTAAGGAAATTTTCTAACGTTTCATTTCTTGCTTTTTTCCTAGGGTTTCTGGATTTCTTGTACATACCGGACTGGTGAGTTGTTTTTTTATTTGTTTTGCTTTAAAGAAACGTTTCTAACGTTTCATTTTTCATTTTTATTTTTTAGGGATGCCAGATTTTTTGTACAAATTGGATTTTTAGAGATATTTGGATCTTTGTACAAAATCTTTCGCTCCGGACTTACAACGGTTTCCGTTTCCTAGTGATAATAATTAAAGGGAGCAATAAAATATTTAAATAAGTGATTTTCGGAATTTATAATTGGATGTATAATTAAATGTTCAAAACTCCAACCAACATTCTCTAAAAGTGTTTGTTATCAAAGATTGTGAATCGTAAATTTCATTTAATTTTAAAGTCTTAATTTTATTTACACTTTGCATTAATTAATGGACGAAAAGTATAATATTACAACCATTACCGCCAATTTAATTCGATGACATTATGAGGTGTAATAGGATGTATCTAAGTCGCAATTATTGAAACATAATTAATTAAGAAGCGCTTAAGGATCTTGGGATTTGGCCAAATTGACCATCGGCCTAAATTACCGGCCCACTCTTATAATGCCTTAAAACAGTAAAATAGTACCAACCTTATATAGTAACTAGAAAACTCTTGCATAATGATTAATGATGAATTAATTTCGTAGAATTTCAAATAGATATATAAGATATGAAATTTTCTTTCAACATCAGATTCAAATATTGAATCATTAATTCCAACAGGAAACTTTCTCTTTATTCTCTTTATATTCTTAGTCAAATAACTAGTAGCCAAACTTTAGGAAGAGTAACTGCTCAAGCAATGTCATTAAATGCCCAAATTAATGTTACTTATCCAATGATTAGAATAATTCTAATAATAAATAAATAAATAAGATAACTTATTTTTTGATTTATAATTGATTAAGGTTCTGACGAAATAATATACATTGACAATATTATTTCTTTATTTAAATAAATAAATAAATTATCTCATAGACATAAATAGGATTTAGGAGGTATAATAGTGCGTGAGAGAATGGGAGATCATGTTCATATGATCAGTAACAGAATGGATTAAAGAAATAAAAATAAGTTTCATGGGCGTAATTACTGTATTCATGATTTATTTTTTATTAATAAATAATTTTGAATAAAATCAGCTTATATTTATATTTCTTTTTTTTTCTTTTTTTTTAAAAAAAAAAAAATCTTTAAAAAATGATGAGTATATAAATTTTATTCGAAAGAAAATAATGGTCATAACAATTAATTTCTATAATTAATATCTATAAATGATGAACGTGATAATCGTGATATGCTAAATTTTTATATCGAGTATACTGTAGAAAAGATCATCATTACCCAATGACAATAAATATGCTTACGAAAAAAATCTTTTACTAGTATAAAATTATTATTATAAAAGAAATACAACGAATTTATAATGAATATATTAATAATGAAAATTCTTCTGGTAATAGGGTTACACATCTGCTGTTGCTATGTTGATAAAAAAAATTGGATACTTTCACTTGCAAACAATGATCAGTTCAAGAATGTTCAATGTCACATGATAAATAAAGAAATAAACAACATAGAAATATAATAGGTAAATTAGTTCATTTGATGGTGACGGTGATGGTGGTAAAGTTTGTCGACATGGATAATTTTTTCGTTAAAAATACCAAATTTAGCAGCATCGGTCAGATGGCATAAAGTTTGTATCACTTTGCGTTACCGAGGTACTGATTTCGAGGAAAAAACTTGTGTTACGGAAATACCTAGTGGAATTTATGAAATCAAAGGTTTACTGTATAGTTCAGTTGATTGGTGTTATAGATTATCTTAATGTTATCATTATCTATTGTACACAATATGCATCTTTGAGATAGTATTCAATAATGCTGATATTATCATTCTTAGTAACTTGTGATGAGGATGGAATTAGGACTCAAAGTTAGTGATTGGGAATCGTAGTAGTACGAATAATATTAAAGTTTTAATTATTGTACATCAAGATGCATGATGATGATTAATTTTTGAGGCAATTTTGAAAACAAAACAGATGCGATAATAAAACAACCAATAAGAAAGTTTTGTAAATAAATGAATAATTAGAAGCATAGAAACCATTATATAAACAATGCATTGTTTTACTTTTTAATTATAGTCGTAAATTTGAAATTTAATTAATTTAATGTTCTGCTTACCTGAAGCGGCTTGGACTCGGTTCTGAGTGTTGGCTTAGCACGTGATTCTATTTTCCGCAGTATGAAATTACCACATGAATGTACAATGATGCAAATGATGATGTCACAAGAATCAAAAATAGGTTATCATTTTCCAACTTCTACATGATATGGCGCCCACAATAACGATAAAAGGTTAGATTTTCATATAATTTTACGTTACAACTCTTATTTAAAATGCCAAATCTACGCTTTCATTTAACTCATTTAACTTATTTTCACACTCTTTTTCTTTTCAAAAGAAATACAAGGAAGATGAGTACTCAAATCCTCACTAAAAAAATTAACCTTGAGAATAAACTTGAAGAACACACCTCAATAAAAGATAGTATTTCTCAAAATTTTCGTAATATAAATGTACATGCCATTTCAGTTGATTATGATGAAAGTCCTTCAAATAAACAATCTTTACTTAAATATACAACGACTTCTCATGGATTAGTTTCAGCAATTTTCCATGCTTATAACAATCATCAACATTTACTCTTAACACCTGATGATATTTGGTTAACTATAGCACAAGGAGTTAGTCAACATATTAATTATAATGCAGAAAAATTTCGTTATCGTTTTGTTAATCATGAAGGTAAAAAAGAGATAGGTATTACTGTTAATGATATTTTGGCTCAAAAAAATTCACGCCTTGAGGGAGATTGGCCAGAAGCAGTAAATAGACTAGTTGTGAAAACTGATCAAGCTGTAGAAAAAATTGATGTAAAATCACTTTTAGAATGCGATTTTTCTACTACAACAAAAAATTCTCTTACTGCTAGTAGAATCGTTCTTTTGGATATGCTTAAAGAATATTTTTCATATAAAATGTATCTCTGTTGTGGAATTCCTAAAATTACTCTTGAAGGTACCTTAGAAGATTGGACAAAATTACAAGAGAAAGTAATTCAATTACGTCAGTTGGATTTAGATATGGATTTTTGGTTGGATAAGTTGGATCCTGTTGTATGGCAATTAATTGAAACTTATAAAGGCAATGTTGATGAAGATTTTTGGTCAAAAATAATTTCATTACAAAGTTTTGGTTCAGGACCTAGTTATGTTACAGGATGGACGATGGCCCTTTTTCCATATAAAAATAATGGAAAAAAATTAGAAGGTAATACGATCACTCCAGATGACTTCCCTGATGGAAGAGTTGAAGTACCATTTACGACTGATACTGGATTAAGCTTAAAATTTGTTGCAGGATTTTTAGGTGCTCAACAAAAATCTCTTGAGAATTCTGATGAATTGGTTGTTTCACCAGTTATTGGTTGGTTTGTTATTGATGATAAAACTACGAATTAAACTGAAAAATTTAGAATTAAAGTCTTAATTCGTATTTTTTATATTGAATTGATTTTATTTTATCTTTATTCATTTTTTTTTTTATTATTATTATGAATTATGTATCAACTATATCAATTTCAATAAATTATTTTTATTTTTTATTTTTTTTATTTTTACGAGCAATAAACATCTCATCTAATATGCAAGCGATTATGTAGATCCATGGCCAGAATTTAATACTTGGATGATTAATTTCATCCTTTATTAAGAAAAATTTAATAGCGATCTTGGACATACAAAAAAGCTGATTAATTTGATTATGACATTTTAAGTCACTTGTTTATCCCGGCGCAGCTGAACTTTAAATTGTGTAAAAAACATTATTAAATGAAACGTGTTATGATTTCAGACCAAAAATAGTTGGGTTTACTAAATTTGTCTATTCACCTTGTCTAGTAAATTATAGAGCACAGTACTATATTAAGCACTGTACTGTACTTACTGTACGAAGGTCTGTTTTATTTAACATAGTGATGAAATTACGCTATAAAGTAAAAAAAACATGTGTGACGGTAATTTTATACAAAATAAATCCATACCTCCACAAATATTTAAGCTAACTTGATAAGAATTGATGCTTGAATAGTTTTGCACTCGCTTAACAACTTTATATAATCTATTACATTTTAACCAAAATGATGAAATTTGCGCTATAAAATGAACGCGACGCGACGACGCGTGGCACAGTAATGCGTTTATTGTCGACTTTACATTTTATTTAAGAGAATGCTCATTTATTAAATATTTTTTACATGAAAAAGAGAGAGTAGGTATTGAACGAGCAGGTGAACAATAAACAAATATTCAGAAATCTTGTACGATTGCTAATTGTCGTACAATCAAACAGTCAATCACAAAACCGTCACTCTGCATTAGCTACACAATGTTTTTAAAGGAATAAGTTTATCATATTAATTTTTGAATAGAGGAGTATATATAGACGATTTAATAATAATATAAATGTTCAAAAAAAAATTTTTTTCTTTGAACATCCTAAAAATATAGTGCATGATTTTTATCGTTAACGACCAAAAAAAACTGAATCTTAATATTCATATTGTACGTAGCTATTAAGTTAAACGAGAATAAGAAAAAGAAATTTACGTTATAATATAAATAAATAATATCAAATTATTATTAAGGAAAATTTGAATATTGATTAATAATATTATTATCTAATATAGATTGTTGAGAAATATCAATTGGTGTCAAATATTTAATTAAATCTTGTTTTAAATAAAATTCCAAATTTTCTTTACGTTCTTTAGAAAAATTTTCTTCTTGTTACCTCATTAAGATTTAATTCCATATCATAAATAATTTTATTCAACATACAAATAATGTAATTATATGAAACTATTTCGCAAGTAACTTTATAAGTTTTTTTATCATCGTGTTATTGAAAATAAAATACATGTAAATTATTAGTGTAAGAGTTTGATTGATTATTGTTCATATCACAAAATTTTCTCGATTGAAAAAAGACGAGAACCATTTTTCTCAGTATTTTCGAAAATGTGAGTAATTAATCAGACTTGTAGACGGACGAACACTTGCTCTTATATAGAAATAATAAGTAGAGCTTCGAACGGGGATTGTTATTGGAATTATCCGTTTCAAAAAGTCCGAGTAGTTTAGTATCGGATAATCCGAATAAAAATTATGGGCTTACTGGCGCAGCATTATATTATAATTAATTCAAATAAAATTTATATTTAATAAATTATATTACATTTTCGCTTAAATAATGTATCTAATTTTTACTTAATCAATTAAAAATTCTATCAACCATACAACCATATTACCATTTCTTTTAAAAAATATCAACACTTCAAACAAGTTCATTGAAGCCCCGCATTGAAACTTTTTAAACCTAGGATATCCGAAAGTATAGTCCGAATAAACTTATGTAAAAAAATCAATATACGATGGAAAAGTTCTGAAATCGATTCAAATATTGTGTAACTTGCGAGAATAAAATGTCAATTAGTTAAAATGTTTTATTAAAAACCCAATTTCATTTTATATATAGTCAGATCTCACCAAGTTGGTTTCACTTCTGAGTAGTGAATGTATAGAAGTGTGATTATAATGATTGAACCACCTAAATTATGACCTAATATTCAAGAATATCGGTCAGTATTATCAGTATTAGAAGTTAAAGTTGATCAGAATTAAGATTACACCAAGATTATATTTTTTTAAAATTCAAAAATTTCTTAACTTGGGCTAAATTAATAATTTTAACCTAAAATTTGGTGTTATTTATTCTTTAAAATTTTAATATTTTTACATATAAAATAATCTTAAAAAATAAAGATAACTAAATAATTTATCGCCGTTTTCAAAATGGTTGATGCTGTTATGTTTGGATGAAATAAACAGCATCAACCATTTTGAAAACGGCTGTAAAATAAATAAAATAATAAAAAAAGATAATTTTTTTTACTGGTTTCCTAATTTTAATTAACGTTGATTCAACTATTGGCGGTGTTGAATCTCCTCGAAGTTTATGAAAAGAATTTAATAAAGACTCTCCTATAACATTTATTCGTGATTCAAACAACTTAATTGAGTCTTCTATAATTTTATCGGTTAGTCGAAAACCGAGCTTAAATAATTTTTGTAGTTTTTTCAGTTATAACTTCAGTACTTGGGCATACCCAATTATTCGGTGGATTTGGGGGGAAACACACGAGCAAAGTGTCCACTATGACCAGTTCATTGAAATCACTACATATTTCATTGTATCCTATTTTTTTCCACAATACAACTAGATCCGGGTGGATTAGAATCGCCCTTGATATTAAATTTACTTGACGGTTATTCTCATAACCATCTCTTGATAGATAATTCTCAGTTGCACCTCCGAATGGTGATCTGTATGCTGGAATGTCTTTTGGTCGAAGCACACTGTTGATATACTAATTTATTTATTAGTATTTTACATCATTCAAATGAATTAATGTCTGAGAATGAATTAGACATCTCTTTGTTATTGAAAATGCCTAAGTGTCATTATATCATCACATGGGGTTTCGCGATCTCAATTAATTAGAAGCCAAAAATGTTCAAAATGTCGTTTCGTGTGAGAAGATCATCATCATCTGATCAGATGATCACCTGACTTGAGCGCAGTGGAAGAGCATAAATTTCTTATTTAAATCTTCAATATAATTGAGATTTTCTAAAAGGACGGCTGGTGCTTGATTTATCGTGAGAGCACCGGCTGTTAAATAATGGAATAATTCTAAATCATTCCCTCTTATAGCAATGTCCGCGAGTTAGTTATATAGACTTTAGCAGGTAGTTCGCTTGCCCACGGTTTTTCTTTAGGTATGTCTGTGTTAATATTATACCTCGACCTCATTCAATCAACTTAATCAACTTCGGGTCGTAAGTACCGAATTGAATCATTAATCGTTGCATAAAATATCTTAAAATAATCGCCTTTTTAGCTAATATTTGCACAACTTCTACTGTCACGAAATGATTCCCTAGTCTGATGGCGTGAAAGAGAGCATGAGCTCTACCATACTTATAAATAATCCATTCCGCTCGAACATGGGGATCTTGGAAAGTAGAGTGCCAGTTACAATTAAGAAGAACTAGGGCTATTGGTGTAAATACATATCTGAAGATTTCGACTTTTAATTCATTGCAGAGTGTTTCCATTATGGTTGGTTCTTTTTTTAAAAATAAATAATAAATATATATATATAGGGTATAGGGTTGAAAATTTAATTTTTTTATTATTCTTTTTTTTTCTTTTGACGGTGTAAGTTTAAAGAGAAAGAATTTGCACGTTTTTTTATTTTTCATCAATAACGGTAATAACGATAGTTTCTCTTTCATCATAAACAAAAAAGCTTTATTATTTCATTAGTTGAAAAAAAATTCCAGGGTATATATAAAAAAAACGAAATATATATTTTTTTTTACAAAATGGTTTATATTGTTATCCGTATAATGGAATGTTTAATCAAAAAAAGGATAAATTTCCACTTTTATTTATTATAACGGCTAACAGCCAACCATTTATGTATTCATTATCAGTGAATTTTTTTTTAAAAAAAAGGAAAATCTTCAAAGAGAAAAAAGGGCTGAAGTTTTAAATGAATTATTAATTAATAAATTTTCAAGGGAAAATTTATGGGGCGAGATCATCGTTGGGGTCAACTATGTAAATCAAAACTATATATGGTATCATATAAAAATCCATTGAAGATTTTTTCACGTGTTAATTCCATTATATTTTCCTAATACAATTTTACAAATATGTAACTATAATAATCATATGATACAATTAAAAAGGTTTGACGCAATAACTTCCCCTGCCATTGGTAATTAATTGACTTGTTATTTCCTTGATAGTATTATTATGGTCATTTTTTAGACTCTTTTGGGCTGCTTTCCGAGCTTGATACTTTCGTTTATATGATTTGTAAATACCCATGTTAAATTTAGATTGTTTTGCGACCAAAAACATTTTAAAGTTAATTTTTTAATTCCAGAATAACAGAGTTACGTTGCTAAATTTGAAATATTTTACCAATTAATGAAAAAATAACCTTCTTTTTACTCAATATTAGTATAAAGAGAGGTTTTACAGGGAATTGATTTGAAAGTTGAATAATAATACAAAGATAACCAACGTAATTTGTCAGAGATATTTATGAGAATGGATATTTATAAAAAAAAAAGTAATAAATAATAAGAAAGTTCACTCTAGACATCTAAAAATTCGCGAACTATTCTTTTATTATTGTGGGCCTATGTAAAAGAGACTCTCTATTAAGTATCTGTTATGATTTAAAAAAATCTTTGATTAATAGTTTAATTAAGCTACCTGATATAGTTTTGATCTACATAGTTGACCAATCACCCCAGCGTTTCGTGTCAAAGCCTTTATTTTCATTGTTTTTTTTTGTATAGCTCCGGCTTGGACATGAAACAGACTTTAAGGTAAGAAATGAGGAAAGAGGAATGGTTAATTTTTTTATTTTAATTTAAGAAACGTTTTAACGTTTCTTTTAAACGTTTCTTTCAGTTGTAGGTGCTACGAAACCGGACTTTAAAGGTAAGAAATGGGGAGATGTTATTTTATTTTTTTTATTTTAATTTAAGAAACGTTTTAACGTTTCTTTTAATTGTTTCTTTTGTAGGGTGCCATCTTGGACACGAAATTTTCTCTTTTTTTAGGTTTGCCGATTCTCTTTGAAAATGGGATGAGTGAGTGTTTTAATCTTGTTGTTTATTAGTAATGAAACGAGAAGACAACAAACAAACAATAAAAATCTTTCATTTTCTTTTCTTTTCACCTTTTCATCATTTCATTTTCATTTCCTTTATTTTATTTTCATTCCTCTTTGTTTTCATTCCCTTTCCTTATCATTTTCCCTTCCTAATTTCCCTTCCTTTTCGTTTTTGTTTTTTTTCTCTTTTGTTCTCCCTTTCACTTCTTCCACTTACTTTCCTTTTATCTTTTTGTCTTCTATGATTTTTTTATTATTATTGTTGTGGTTGTTTTATACCATTATTATTACTAGTTATGTAAAAAATAAATAATTGTAAAGTTTTATAAAGTTTTAATTCTGTTTAATAAATTTTCAAAGGAATAAAATCACCAAATGTTTTAGTAAAAAAATTGGTTGTTACATAATATTTTTTTAACCGTTAAAGTTAAAAAATTAGCCAATCAAAAAAAATATTTATCACGTGATAGGGTGAGTAATAAATATGGGATGAGGAATAAATTCACAATTTTTAATTAAGTGGTAGAATATATATAATAATTAAAAATACGTAAGGAGAAAATGAGAAATATCTAGAAAATTTATTTTGCTTATTTCCCAATTTAGATCTTCTTCAAGTTTACTTGCATGCTTCATCTCCAATCACGCTATCTTGATTTATATTTATTGCATAATAGACAAAGAAAAATATTATTTCAAGAGACAATAATCAGGAAATCTTAATTTTTAATCATAAATTCCTGGTTATTTGTAACAATTGTGACGTGTGATAAAACGTGACGAAAATAAACATTTTTTTTTTGATTGAATACGCGACTTACAAATTTTACTAAAATTTTAAAGTCAGGTTTCCCGCTCGCTGGTCGATGAAATATGAAAGAAAAAGTTTCGTACTTTGATCCGATTTTATTTTGGAAAATCAATAAATCAATTACGTATAGCTACAAGTTTTTGTCAACAACAAATGTAATGTTTCGTGTTAAAAATAAATTCTAATGTTAAATAAATAAAATTGATCTGATGATTAATTACAATCATAATAACCGTTCATAACATTTATTTATTTAACATTATGTAAAAGGAATTTCCTTTCATTCAAAACAATAATAAATTTTATGTAATTCAAAACAATAACTAAGTTTTACGTAATATTGTGTTATTATGCATTTTTTTTCAATTGCCAAACAGCGATCCTCACTATTATGCTTTTAATTATTATATGCTATATTTAGTAATTAGCTGTTTTAATGAAACAACACCATTTATTTAGCGCTCGAACGAGTCACGTAATTATAAAAATATTTTCTTATAAAAAGGGTTTAAATTTTCTCAATGAAATTTTAAAAGGGATTTCATTTTTTATTAAAAAAAACATAAACAAAAATACAAACATCAAAAATACTCGCATGATTCTTACAAATTTTTCTTTATCTATATATAAAAAGTAGTAGATAGGTCGGTAAATTATTCACCTCGTAATATATGGCGCAGTATTGAAATAATTAATGATCGATCACATGATGTAGATTATTTTATTACGAAACGAATCATAGACCCGCATGGTGATAAACATTAATAATAATTATATATTATTGTATAGGGGAGGAGCAATATCACTTATTTTAGTATAGGTCAATGTATGATTGGTTTTAATTTTGCCACGTCAGTGGCAAAATTAGTAACCAATCATACATTGACCTATAAAATAAGTGATGTTGCCCCCTGTACAATAATATTATTATCGTTTGGAACTGACCATAACATTTAAAAGCTTAAAAAAGTTTATTTAAAAGTTTAATTTTTTACTGTTTATATTGAAAAAATGATTTACAAATTGTGCTTTTTTCTCTTGCTGACTCTTTAGTATTTTTATAATAATGCCACCACAAAAATCTCAAAATAAAAGTAAAAAAGTAATATTTATTTGTATTCATTCAGTTAATATTTTATTTTATTTTTTTTTTTGCATTTTATTAAAGATTTTTTTTTAGAATAAAAAAACTTTCACATATGTGGCCCCTACTGAAGAAGAAATAAAAAGTATGCAAACAGCAGCTCGTGGCAAAGCTACACATAATTCTACAAGTACTTGGATTAATGCACTTGAAACTTTTCGTAAGGATATTGGATTACCTGGAAAAATAGATGATGTGAATTCTAAAGAAGAGTTAAAGCGTCAACTTGTTTTATTTTTTGTTTCATGTAAGCAGCAAAATGGAGCTGAATATTCAGTACAATCAATAAAATCAGCAAGATTTGCTATTGCACGACATATCAACACATATTCTAAAATTCGTCCACAAGAAATTACAAATAAAAATATATATTCTGAATTATATAACGCAATTACTGGCAAGATCAAACTTTTAACTGATCAGGGATTAGGTGAAATACATGGTGCAGATGCTTTTACTCAAGATGAGATTAGGAAAATTATTAATCATCCCACAATGCAACCAGATTCACCAAAAGGACTTATACGACGCATATTTTGGCATAATGCTTTTGAATTAGCTCTTCGAGGTGGAGAGCATTATAATCTAAAAATACAACAATTTAAAAAAAGAAAGGATGGTGGTATTGATGTTACATTTTATAGATCTAAGTGTAATCAGAGATCTTTAAGTGAATCTAATTCTAAAGCTGAAGTAATTTCAATACCTGCTGATAATGCTGTTATTCAAGATTATGAGCTTTATTTTAGTAAAAGACCACCAATTTGTGAAGATGCATTTTACTTGCAACCTTGCAACAATAATGAAGGTAATTATTTATCATGTAGTAATTTATTATTTTTTTTTACCTTTCTTTTAATTTCAAATAGTTGAGTTTACGGGTTATTGGTTCAAATCTGCTCAAATGGGAGAAAAATTGGTAAAAGGACTTATGAAAGAAATTGCAACAATAACTGAAATCGATTGTGATAAAAGAAAGTTCACAAATCATAGTGGACGAAAAACCTTTATTCAAATTTCAAAAAGTGAAGGAATTAGTGATAATGATGTGATGTCTGTGTCACGGCATAAAAATCCTCACTCTTTGGCTTATTATGAACGTCCTAAGTCTATATTGCAACAAAATACATTATCGCAAATTAATTCTTTAATTTATAATGGTAAGAAAAGAATTGCACCTGTGGTTTTAATGTAAAAGTAATATACAATATATTTATTATTTTTCTTTTCATTAGATACATTATTGTCAAATGACAAAACTGCAAATTCTTTTTCTTCAGCCTTAGAAACTTTTAATGGTAAGATTTAACTTATGAACTAATAATTCTTATGGTATAAAAAATTTAATTTTTTTTTAGAATCACGGTCACCACTTCAGCAGCTCAACTCAAACGATTTAAACGAATTAAATGATGATCAACAAAATCAAGAAATTAACGGAAATGATGAGACCATTAAAAAAATT